GTCACAAGCTCACCACCCCACTGCTGCTCTATCCATCCTTCTCACAGCGTTATTTTTAGTTAGGTTATTGTATGGGTTCCTGCTAGCACCTTCTTAACACTGCCGGTGTGTTCTACTGTTAGCCGTGCCGCTAATGAAGACATTTTAAGTGGTTTCTCAGCAGTCGGTCCTCCAGTTAGAAAGCCAGAGTGTCTCCATACTCTTAACCATTTGCCTCTAAATCTTCAGATCATTGTGTGTTAGGTGAATCAGGCAATGTTTTATGTTGCACCTTAACAATTACAATCAACTAAACCAACTTTTCTGCCATCTTCATATTTGGAGTGCTGGGGCAAGCTAACACTTTTTTTTTCAGGAGCGAGTTACTTGCACACAGGCATATTATAAAGATGTCTGCTGGAAAGAAAAAACAAGTACTTGTTGGCTTCTACTTGAGTTGACAACTGACAGTTATTTTTACAAACTTGGATGACAAAATGGGATGTCGATTAATCATCAAGCTGCTTTGATGCTAAGCTTTGACCAACAGTGTTACAGTCATTATCTGGCACAACTACAAAAAGAAACCAAGGCGTAATAACTTCTCACTGAAAGTCGGAACTTCTTTGTCGTAATCACCTTCGTAAAACAACTTTCTCCCACAGTTTGACCAGAGAGTGGAACAAGGTTGAATAATACATTTAAGAGCCTGAGGAAAAGCTCAAAGGATCTCACTCCCCCTTTTGTTCTGATTGACACGTATTCTTCTGTGGAACAAAGGGCCGTAGTCTCTATTAGGAAATAAAATGTTCTGTAGGAAAAGACTTGAGAGAGAGAGAGGCATAAGATGTCCACCTAGACCCTTTGGCATGTCTTTTGCTTGCTGGCCGACTGGTAAACTCAGGGAATGGTGGCAAGACTGGAATAGATCGCCATTTGTTCAACATTTCCGTTCCAAAAGTGATAACATCCCCTCCAGCATGGACACACATAAGGACCTCCCTTGGATATTTTGTGTATGTGCTGGCTCATGCTCCCCACTTTCCTGTTCACACAGGGAAAGAGGGGGCCGAAGTGCTTTTGGAATAGAAGATCCGAGATGCTTCTTGCATCCCAATGAGAGTCGTCAGCACGCTCACGAAAGCAAGGTTAATCTAGATGTCAAAGTCTGCTGACAGTGCAGGAGATTGCTCTGGGGTGACATCCCCATCTGAAGTCTTAATGCCGCAGTCAATTTTAACCTCCTTTTTAAAAGAAATCGGGAGTTGCATTTGGCCAGGCTTTCCGAGTTAAATGCACAACTGTCCTTGGAAGCGGGTTCAGCTTTTCCCACAGCTCAGGAGATCTGCTGGCTTAAACTATAGATCACTTTAGGTTCCAAGTAACAAGATTCACATGCTTGTCCGTGTGCCCAGAGTGAACAGCAAGCACAGCGTGAGCTAAGTCAGGTTCGCAAAATGCAGCTGATACTTTCTAAGACATCTCAGCTTCGGATGTACAAAATTATTCGTATCATCAGCGTAGTGTGCCACGAATCAACCACAAGTTTGGCAGTACTTCTTTGCAGACTACATTAAGAGTACTTAAGTGGCAATGCACTGGAGGTAGATAAGGACTTGTTCTGGTAGTCTCATTTGTAATTTAGAAGTGGGGTTTCAAATCAGATACAGATCTTTAATTAAATGTTTTGAAGGCAATGAAAATGAGTTTTATCCTGCAGGCGAAAACCGGATAGCTTGTTTTATATGTGCCACAATGACAGCTGAAGATCTGCAGCAACAAAGATTTGGGATAACAGATTCAATCAGTAAGATATTCAGCGTGACTGCATCTCTTGGAGATTAATGCTCCAGGTGGCCACATCAAGTGTTGGGTGTGTTAAATGAGTTCTAAAAGCTGCTTGGCTAATTTAATGGGGTTGTTACTGGTTTAGAAAGAAGCTACTCGCGGATTAGTATTTGCGCAGGAGTACTTGGAAAGGAATATATCAAAGGCAGTAATTCAGCTAAAAAAGTGAACACATGACGTCTTAAAACATGTTGCCTGTATTTGATTTTAGAAATTCTGCCATTGATTGGGCAATTAAAGTTTTTCGTCTTCAGTTTGCCTAACTAAGGCAGTCTTGCATGCACTAAATGCTTTGGTAAATCGGAGCCACAGAAGGTAGGATAAATGGATAAGGAGAGAGCTGATCTGAGATCAGCAGTGAAGCGTGATAGTGTCGAGGTTTCTGCAGCCCTTCTGCAGGGTTATGAAGTGCTGAAAGAGAGCTCATTCCAGACGTAATGTTCCAGCTTCCTGCCTCGCTTCTTCTCCTGATGATTAAGGTCTTAAACCTCTCATCAATCGCCCCGCGCCTGTTCGCTGCCATGGTGGCGGTAAGTGAGAGAGGGAGATTCTGCTTGCCTCACAGCTCTGAATGCTTAACTCAACTCTGTTAGCCTGCCAACAGACAGCGCTGTGGCACTTCTATCCACTATGTTAGTGTGTGACCTTCACTGATTCATCTCGCCTACCTCTCGCTTTCTCACACACAAACCGGCACAACCGCACACACCTCTCTTTGCTGCCTCAGGGGGATTACCGAAAGACTGGCCATCATATTTAAGGGATATCTAAAAGCCCAGGCCAAAAACTCATTTCATTGGTAATTTCCACCCATTTCTGCAAGGTGAAGTCATTAGAGTCACGGCAACCCCTGAAGCTGCCATAGCATCACCCTGCTGTCACACACTCTCTCTTCTGATCCCCCTCTCTAAACCAGCTGTGGCTTACATGCTTGCGTCCTTTCATTTACAGAAACTACTAATTCAGTTCTCTGACGGCTCGAAGTGATAAAGATACAGCCTTCCCACTCCCCGCAGCTAACGCCGCCTGACCCCTCCTTGCCGCGTTTGTATAATCCACCTTTCACAGGTCGTTGAGCAACGATCGGTCTCACAGAGTAAACTGCAGAGAAGTGTTTGACTCTTTCAACCCTGTTAGTCACAGTTATGTAGCCAATGACTCAAATAATCCTCAGTAACCACCACCTCGACCGATTTACAACAGTGAGCTGCAGCCTTTTGTCCTCAACTAAGTGGAACTAAGTGCAGTTTCATATTTTCACTTGTTACATAAATACACATGCTGAGAAAGAATACATGAGGGCATATAGCTTATATATCGCAAAATGTTGCTTCAGAAGAGAACAATGCGGTTCTGTCATGAAACCAACGATACTAGCTAACATGTGGGCATGAAAGGATTAAAAAAAAAAAAAATAATTCCCCACACTGAAAAGGGATTGACTAATTATTCAATAATGTTCTTGTCAACATATAATTTTTATATTTGAATTCAACTTTGGCAACAATTGAATTCTCCCGACACTGCAGGAAGACTGCAATCATTTTCAAAAACCTAATTCGGTGTGAATGCTCACTGTGTACTACATTTGACATGTAAAATCAGAGTGGCTTGCTGTTTTTAAAACAAATTTCCAAAACTGGGGGCTCGTCCGGGATGCAGGTGCTAGAGGAGAGCAGGTCTGTTTACCTAATAAACCACAAACCTTTCAAGCATGCATCCTGGCACCCACACTTGGGTAATCTCTTCTGTTACTTTTCTGCACGAAAGCTTTGCGCACAAGCTAGGCAAAATTGTAAAGTCAATAAATATCTGCAGCAGGGCCCTGTACCCGACGAGAATATCAAAATAAGGAGCATCTTATCACACGTAAGCACATCGCTGGCGGTGTTATTGAAAGACTTTTGCAATTTCCCCCTTGTCATAGATGTGGAGAGAATTATCTGCCCACTGTGGGAAGCAGCGAGAAAAAAACAACATAACAAGATCAACAAATGTTCAAGTTGCTTCCTCTACGGCAGGAACTTTTCCTGATCCGAAAGGGGAGATTATGGTTAAGCGCAAATGTGTTCTGTGGAACCGTGATGGGCAGTTTGCTTCAAATAGCAATTTATAGTCATGCGGCCTGATAGAAAGCAGGAAAGTTTTTGACAGTTATCATTTACGGTATTGGTTGTTTGGGATATTCGTGAGCCCTTGGGTGTGCGAGAAATGTGACCACAAATGGTATGTTATGCCTTTGATACAGGATTTGGATATATTCAGGAAGATGTTCCAAAATGTCACTTAATATATGCTCAAGAATCGTTTTAACCAAAAGGGGCACTGCTCCTTCTAAAGCCGAACTAAAGTTTACTTGGTTTAATTATCATAGGACAAATACTAAGCCACAGATCACTTTGAATGAAAAGAATAAGCCAGCAAAACTGCATGAGCTATAGAACGCTAAAATACAAATGTCACTTCAGAATAAATGATGGATGTTTCAAAGAAGCCCTTTAGTCTTAGGAAGTCTTCATCTCAAATATACAAATTGTCTTTGCAGTCATTTAACATTGGGGAGAAAAGAAGAATATCACCTGACAGAATCCACAACATTGTTAGAGCGTCTCCTCTGTTATACTTTGATGGCTCTATTAGTGGCTACAATATTTACTAGAGGAAAGTGGTAGAGTTGCAGAATAATTTGTACATGCTAGTTCTACCACTTCTGAGGAAAGCATGGTATAATGTTTGCAAAGAAGTGTTATCACAATTCGTAAAGGCGATGAGAGTTAATGAATGGAATATGAGTATTTTCTCATCATCTGACATAAATCTACCCTCCTTGTTACATTCATTTCAGAAGCAAATGGTCTCTGGAATACAAGGAGAGAGGCAACATTTCATGAACCCGCTCTCTACCTCTTGGTTGCACCCAAAACAAACAAACAAACAAACAAAAAAAAATAAAGTAGGTAGGGGGAAATCATTAGGAAAGTACATTCTATGGGCGTGTGAAGAAAAAAAAAAACATTAAAATGTGATCAAAATATTTATAGAATTCACCCACCGTAATAGCACACCAAGAAACTAAAATCATCTAATCAGGAAATAAAATAAGTTAACATACTGTCTCTTGTGACACAGAAATTTACATTATATACATTCTTTTTTTTTTTGTTTTTTTTGTTAAATAAACTCCTTTGTATTGATTGTTGGTTCCTTCGAGTGAATCCATTCGCTAAAAAGCTCCTCCGGATGTTTAAAAGCCCTGTTGGATACTTCCTGTATAGTCAAAAGAGAAGATCCGGCCAGTCAGAGCACAGTAAGGCTTTTTTTTTAAAAAAAGTCCTTGCCAATCATCTGACTAAGCAGTCATATCCGAAAGGCAACACACCCTTAGCAAGAAAAATGACATACATCCACACTCGGAGAAAGAAAAATAAATAAAAATATATATATATTTATAAAATGAAAAGCAAGTAATAACGCAGAGAGTTGTCAAGCAGTCAGGAACCTCCTCCACTTTAGTTTTTTTTCCATTTTCCATTTTTAGAGAGGGAGCAGATGGTTCCGTTATTCCTTTTTTGGAGTTTAAAAGTAGGCTGCTGTTACCAAACGAAAAAGACGAAAGGAAATCAAATCATGAAAGGACACTCCTCGTCTTGCAGTAGAACTGTACATCTTTATATGCAGGTAAACAAAATGTAAAAGTGCTTTTAAAGACTGTTATCCAGTGTATCGAAAGGAGTAGCAGGCACTTAAGTCCATCCCCATGTTGTAGGTGTCTGACAGTGGCGCAGTAAGGTACATGTAGTTTTGGGTCAATCCCATGTTGTTCGTTCCTCTGTTGGACGGACGCAGACAGACAGACATCCACACATATTCCCAACAAACACTAGCCCAGGATATCCAGGTAGACAGGTGTGGCTTTGCCCAAGGCAAAAAGAATTTTCTGGATGTCTTTGATGTTTAACCTCTGTTGTGGTTCCCTCTGCCAGCACCCCAGCATAATGTCGTACACTTCCTTGGGACAGAGCCGTGGCCTTTCTAGCACCCGTCCTTGTGTGATGCATTCGATTACCTGTAAGGAGAGTCAGGAAGGAGAATGGAATTACTTACTATAGCATGGTCTTCAACCTTTTACAGACCAAAGACATGTCATATATGTAAAACTCAGTGACTCTGTTTACATGGACATCAGTTATCAAATTATTTGCCTTAATCTGAATAAGACAATAATGTGATTAAGGTGTTTACATGAGCTGCTTTTAGAATGTTCCTTTTATTTTACATGTTATAGCACATAATTTGATTAATGTCATTGCGTCACCACGCTATCCACATTTTCTCAGAAGTTTCATGTAATTTCGGGTGTTATACTTTTTTATTTGTCCACTTTGACTGTAGTTTTCCAATTTCAATTTAATTCGGGAATATTTCTTGCATGCCCCCTATGACAAACAAGATGTTGGATGTGAGTATGAACTTCTTTTTCCCATATGCCCACGCCATATGGGGAAAAAACCTCCGCATTTTGCGATAGTTCTCTGTGGTCACTGACTCACAAGATGGAGAGAATAATTTCAAATAACCTACACGGTAATAGTTTGATTGCGGTGTTTAAATATTTGTACTGCACTTCAATATTGTGACTAAAATCGTCGTATTCCACATGTCTTAATCCGATTTCTGTTTAATTCACTTATGACCTTAATCAGATTAAATTAATAATAAAATTGCTGTTTACATGGTAGACTCTTAATCAGTGTATTGTCTTAATATTCAACGTTATATTTTGGTCTGATTTTGAAACTTTAAGGTTTTTTAATTATTATTGTTATTAATTACCCTTACCCTCATGTCTTTCAAAACCGAAGCCTTAATTCATCAGAACACAAGTCAATATATTTTAGATGCAATCTAAGAGCTTCCTCATCCTCCATAGACAGCAAGATTCCAGACTCCAGAAAAGATACCAAAGAAAAATCCTAACATGCTACAGCTATAGGAAAACTTTTGTGTCACATTAAACAAAAATAATGACTTCATTCAACAATTACGTCTCAGAATCAGTATATTGTGCACGTTAATTAGCACTGTGCAGTGACATACTTCCCTGGAGCGTTTAAAGTCGCGTAAATCAGGTGATCTTTCAATCATCTGACATACTAGCGATCCGCTGATGGATCAACTGATCTTCGCTGCTTTAAAATACCCCAGTGTCTCCGTATCTTTGCTTGCACATGGTGAAGTGCAGTAAACGGGTGACCTTCATGGTCATTTCTGATGACACAGTGGCTAATCAACAGTGTTTAAGTATATGACTCAACAGCGTTCGAATTTTAGCAGGACATTAACGCTTTTAAAATTCCACTATCAATTGATACTGATACTAATTTTGCCCAACCCTAGTAGAAGAAACCATTGAATAAAGTCATTATTTTGGTTTAATATGCTCACAAAAGGATTCTTTTTGATTGATTGTATCTAAAATATCTTAGGTCTCATGGGTTGGAACAACATGAAGGTAATTAATAGCATTTGTCATTTTAGGCGAACTAACGTTTTAATGGAAATATGGGCTCTCTTAAATCATGCATTAGATGTATATTATATGGACCATTATGCATGTATTGTGCACAAAATAAGCACTATGTTGTGACATATGACATTATTTTAGATGCCTGTGCACATGAGGTATAGGTTACATCATGAACTTGATCCGTTATACTGACACTGAGTAAAAGAAAGTCATTATTTTGGTTTATTGTGCTCACAAAAGGATTCTTTTTGATTGATAACATGGTTGGACTACTAAATTTGGGCTTTGAATGAATTGGAAAGCATGGAGTACTCAGAATACATCTAAAATATCTTCGGTGTCATGGGTTTTGAAAGACATAAAGGTAATTAATAATTATTTTTATTTTTAGGTCACCTAACGTTTTAATGGGAATACTGTGCTATCTTAAATCGGACTTTAAATGTACATTACATAAACATTTTTCAAAGTATCTAAGGCAGCTTTGCTGAAAACTGTAACACAAGTGTATTTTCCACAACAGACTCATTTGACACTTTGCTGTTTCTCTAAAGAAACCATCCACAGCCTGCATGTTATGATACACAAACCAGGCCCATCTCATGAAACTCTAGCCATTTGCCTCTGTGGATGGCTTCATATCGACTTTTAGAGGAGACAGATGATTGTTCGTGGTCTCTCGGGTTTTACCGCGGTGACTCCAGCTAGTGGATGTCTGTGTTCTATTGACCGAAAGTTTGATTTAGTTTCTTCCACTGGCAGAAATGACACCGTAACGTTCTGATGCAATACAGTAGCCACCATCCCTCCGGCAACAGCATATGAAGCAGCGCGTGTGATTGGTATTCAAGGCCTTGAGTGCATAACACAAAACACACACACGCTTCTTTCTTTCATAAATCGCGCAGCATCTATAGATTATGGTTCACTGAGTTGATATTGATAATCTCAGTGTGAAGTAGCGCTCAAACCAGCTGCGACTTGAAGCTTCAAGAGAATCGCTGTCTCTTTTTTCCCCCACACTTTTCACAGCTTGGAAATTTGAAGTGGTGGAATGAAGTATTTTCAGCACAGCCAGCTGTGTTTGGTCAGCAGAGGAAAAAACACAACACACTTTCTCCGCGTTGTATTTTTAGTAGCTGATCTGATTTGGGGGTTCTAAATGTATGTCATCAACATACACAATGAAACATAAAGTTACTTACATTATATATTATAAGCTGTTTAGTGTTATTGTGTTAATATGTGATGACATTACTAATACTTCATTATTCTCTAATGATTGTGTGCCTTATAGTGTTGTCAAGACATGATGTAATTCGGTACCAATGGATACTGACATTTTAAAAACGTCCATTTCCCGCTAACATTTGAGCAATGTTGAGCACTTTCTTAAACAGCGCTGATTTGCCATTGTGTTCACGTGCTCAGCAGTACTGTCTGTGATTGGCCGTGAAGTTCATCAGCTCACCAAACTCTCCGCTGTTTACCGAGTGTAACCACAGGTAAAGGGATACTGGAGCATTTCAAAAGCTGCGTCCCAAATCGCATACTTATGCACTATTCTACGCCATTTTGTAGTATAAATAGTTTAAGTAGTGCGTTCACACTGAAAACTCTAATAATAATAAGTGCACTTTAATTTCCCGGATGATGCACTCATTCAGCTGCTAAAATGAAGTGTGGAATGATGGACACTTCACGCACTCAACGATCGCAGGTTGGCTTACGTAGCGGAAGGGGCGGAGCTATCGGACGCACATGTTGAATAACTTTATTTATTTTGGATGGTGAAAGCAAAATTCTCTTACGAGAGTGATTATAGCGCCTACTGATGGTGAATGCGGCTATACTCATGGCAGGTGTTATTTGATAATTTGGTTGTTTATTTCACTGATTTGGCAACCGTCAAATGTCATCAGGGAAACGGTTTGAATTTCCGCTTAGTAAAAAAACATTAGTGTGCCATTTGGGACGACACTACATGCATATACTATCCTGTTGAGTGTGTATGTGCATAAGTACATAGTGCATGAGTGCATAGTGTATAGTGTGCCAAGTCACGTCAATCAGCTGGTTTGTCTAGAAGCTGACATACGAAACAACTGCTGTTGAATCACGGCTTTCAAATACTTTTTATTTTTACTTTTCATCTGCACCAAGACTCGCGGCAACTTCCTCCTATGCGTTTTTTTTTTAACCTGCAAGTTTTTATAGTTTTTCTTTCGATATAGATCCCAAATAACTGAATGCTTCTCACGCTCTATGAGGAGTGTCATTCATGTCTTTCGCCTGTGATATCATGTCATTGGCGTTGATTGTCAGGATGATGTAGGCCTATAATAATAATCGATAATAATAATAATAATATATATATATAAGATAATAATATTTATATAATTTATGATATTTATACGTGATCAAACTAGTGTGCAACTTACTAAACAAAACTAATACTAAAATTGTTTTAAATTAGGTTTTTATAGTTCAGGCCCAAATTAATATTTGTTGCCATTTTTTAAGCGATTAAGTTCATTTGATTAAATGTATAAAAATCTGTGGATATTATTGTTGCATTTATTGGGTAAAATTGCTACTTTTTTACTGTCCTTCAATGTGTTTTTGGTCATTATCAATGCACTGTCACTTTAATGGAGCATGTGCAGTGTGGCAAAAATAGAAGCAGCGCTGAAACTATTGTGGCACTGCAGCTTCAGTGACGCTCACGCCTCGCGCTGACACGCTGCTTCTGCATGCAGTATGAAGGATCTAATCTGTTAACATGGCCGCCAAAAAAAACACACGCTGCTCACGCTTGCAGTATGAAACAGGCTTTAGCGGGAAATGGACGTTTTTACAATTTTAGTATCAATTCGTACTAAATTCCTGTATCGTGACAACCCTACTGCCTTATATGCTCTATTTCTAGAATAAAATATGAGCATTAGCTTAAATATAGATACTTATTACTGTATTTTAAATATCTTCTTTTTATTATAATAATCCTAAAATAGACATCCAACAATTTCCTTTATTTATTTGTGATTAAATATTGCCTAAATGAGATTATAAGACTTGAACCAGGAACTTTTATTATAACCACAGCTGTGTATCTACTGTACATTTACAGTTTAATTTATTATGAACTTTACAAACAATAGCAGTAAACATATGGGGATATGTTTTCACATAATCTTGTTTTAAATGCACAAATGAATGCATAAAATTTTAGCCACACTTGCAAATACCGCACTATAAATCTCTTGTTTAACCATAATAACTTTAAGTTCAATAGTGGCAATTATGAGATTTTGCTGAAAAGGAAAATAATATTATTGGCTATTCAGACACAATGGAATAATTTGGGAGCAGCATCAGTGTGTGTAGCTGTTTGGAGTTGATCCAAACCTGAGCTGTGAAACGTTACATGGAGAAAAACAATAGCTGAAAATTAAGCACAATGTTTCTCATTAACTAAGCAAAAGAAGGAATATGTGCGCTATAAAAAAGCCAATAAACATGACATTTCAACATGTACTTGTTCAGTTGAAAAAAAGCCATGTTTGAGATGAACTTGAGTTACCATTGATTATATAATTGTGATATCACAAACACAAGAAGTAGCTTTTTACAGTGCCGTTAAGGCATTTGTTGTTCAGCAAGCACACTCTCACAAATAAAGGTACACAAGCTGTCACTGGGGTGGCATCTTTTCAAAAGGTACAAATTACTATCTCCAAGGTGCATATAAGTACCTAAAAACTACAAAAGTGTTCCTCTTAAAAATGTTATGTACTAATATACACTTTTGAGGTACCAATATGGACCCTTTAAGTACAAATGTGTACCTATTTAAAAGGTACCACCGCAGTGACAGCTCATGTAACTTTATTTCTAAGAGTGCAGGTGAATGGGGTAAAAAAAAAATCATAATTTATTCTTAGTTAATGGATAACATAAATTACTAACTTTTTGTATTTTGATTTTTAAAAAAAATGCAAATGAGGCATAACTCTTCTAATTTGCTTACAATTCTCAAACACACACACACACGCACACACACACACACACACACACACATACACACACAGACACACACAGACACAAACACACATACACACACACACACAAAAAAAACAAAGTCAGGTTAAAAATTCCTGTTAAATTTTTATGACATTAGAGTCAAAGTTTTATGTAGTCAAGAGGTTTTGGAAACTTTTTTATCAATAATTCCAAAAATATATGAACACAACCCTCTGTTTTAGAGTTTTTTTTTTTAAATTAGACTGAAAAAAGCCGATGAAAAGCCAAATATCACAAAATAGACAGGCGTACGAGGGAAAACAAGCTTTCTTTCCTGCAGTGTGTTTCTTTACAAAATGAATTGTTAATATAAATGATCTGCCTTTGCATTGAACTTTGGGGATCATAAGCTAACAGATGTTGTTTATGCTGAAACAGCAACATCACACACTAAGTTTTAAAAGTGAAATCATAATCAAGGACCCCTTTTAAGCTCAGAACTAAGCAAAATGGTAGTACGCTTCAGATATTTTATGTCCATTAAGCTTTTCATGGTCATTTTAGCTAGGCAATGAGTCTTTGCACCTTGTTTTCTCCAATACTAATACTGCAGGACCAAAGATTTTTTAAAAGGCTTGCAAACAGCCAAAAAAAAATCTTGCATCCTGTCAAGTGACGAACAGATAAATTAACGTACCTCATTATTTGCCAGCTGAAACCATGGCTGCTTGCCGTAGGTAAATATTTCCCAGAGGATGACCCCAAAACTCCACACGTCACTCTCCGTCGTGAACTTCCTGTACATGATGCTTTCTGGTGGCATCCAGCGAATGGGCAGCATAGTGTGTCCTCCCACCTGTCAGGACACCAAAACATCATTATTAGTGACCATCACAAAGGTACAAAACTCACCATTACCAATGAGCAAGCAAACTCTGTTAAAGTATACTGAAGTAGAGATTTGCGCGGGACAATTTTTTTTAATCCCGCTCCCACAAGGTTTTATTCCGCACCTGACCGCAGATGCAGATGATGCGTGCACAGACACGCAGAAAGCACTGCTCCCCATAGACATTAACACCTCACATACAGTAAATGGTAACTTGTTTTTTTAGTATGTAATATGATGCAAAGATGATATAATACATACGTAATTACATATAAATGTTCATACATTTAAGAAATAAAAATAAATAAACAAATACTTTCAATTATTTAAGGTGCTAATGATCGTTAAACATGTCATGACAGTCTTGTTAAAAGGGTTCATTGTAAGAGAACTCAGCAATTTATGATAATATCGACACAGTATTTTTGTAATTTCTTACGGCATGTTTAAAGGAGGGATTATAATGTTAATTCTATAGTTTCAAAATGCGTTTTCAATCTAAAAATGTCCATTTACCACCATTATAGCATTTCACAATATCTATAGTCATAGAAATAGGTCTTTAGCACGTCTAAAGGTGCTATTGACTTGAAGTTTTCACCTGATGCAGATTTTTTTTTTTTTTACAGTCTATCCAAACTGATCTTTATTTTGTATTTTCTGTTGGATTCAAGTCAGGTGATTGGCTGGGCCATTCTTCAGCTTGGTTATCTTTCTCTGAAAGCATTTGAAAGTTTCCTTGGCTGTGTTTTGGATCATTGTCTTGCTGAAATGTCCACCCTGGTTTCATCTTCATCATCCTGATAACGTAGATGTTGAACTGAAACAGTTAATGTTAATTTACAGTGACAAAGTTGCTGAATAAGTTCTGAGAGATTTGGGCTTTCTGAGCTTTCACTGCCTTTCTACACCTCCCTTTCTTCATGTGTTCAATACTTTTTTCCTGTGTCTTTTCATTTTATTACACATAACTTAATTTGTAAACTAATTAGATTTGTTTTCTCTTCATATGTGGATATATTTTGTGGTTATCAACATCTGGTGAAAATTTCAAGTCCACAGCATCTTTAGAAATATGTTTTCTGAGAAAAATGATGACGTGTTCAATATTTAATTTCCCCACTGGTAATCCCTATTCACACAAACTTAATAACAGTAGTTTTGATAATAATTAACAGATTTTATGGCCTCATTAATAGCATTGAAAGTATCTATAAATTTATAGATGCCATTTTGTGCCAAGTTCATGCCAAAAAGCATGCTTCTGATCCCAACATTAGCAAAGATTGGATAGACTTTATACCTAAAGTTTCACACCTTATCAGTAAAAATATTGTCCTTTATTTTACCATGGGGTCATTTACAAACAAGGCACAATTTGACATTGGATTTTAAGAAAAATTAAAAGTAAAAAAAAAAAAAAAAAAAGGCTCACACCAAACATTGGACACCATGTCACTTGCTCTAGTTTCATCTCAGGATGTTTTCCTCTAACGCAAAATTCCTGTTTGAGTAAATGTTGTGCATAAGATTTCGAGATTTTGTGTCGTGTGTCATCCGGTTGTTAATCGCCTCGTTAATTTGTGCATTTTTACAGATTTTTGTAAACTAGTGTTCCCCAACCCTATTCTCAGGGGCACACCAACAGTACATTTTTTGGATGTTCCCTTATCTGACCCATTCATTTCAGTTTCTCTGCTAATGTTCTGATGAGTTGATGCAGGTCTGTTTGTTAAGGAAGAGGTTGAAAACGTGTACCGTTGGTGTGTCTTCAGAAACAGGGTTGAGAAACACTGACATACCCATTGCAAATACTTAAATCTGTGTTTTGGTGTGAACCCAGCATAAAAGACTATACAATCTGACAACAATGTTGCACCACACAAGTGCAAGTGATTGTATTTAATTATTTAGAAAACTGAAATATGCAAAACAGTTAGCCAATCATAATGTGGGCGTTTACCTTTAAGACTACAATCTTCCACATCCATTCAGATGTCAATAAGGGTAGTCAAAACAGGATAGATAATATTATATATATATATATTATTATATATAATATAATATAATAATATAATATTCTGTTGTTTTTTATGTAAAAAAACTAAATGATAACAATAAAAGGACATCAGAGAACTGTACAACATAAACAAGTGAGCAGTAACAAAGGAGAAAGCAAGTAAATCGCGGGAAGGGAATACAAATATATCCATTAAAAGCTTTCTGACAGCTCCAAATCATCAAAGGCCATAAATAAAGTCTCCCTCCAGGCCTTCCCCATGTTAAGCGAGATATTAATCGATTACAACAACAAGACATTAATCATCTCTGCCCTGGGCCGGACTGCTTTGGAATCCATTTCCTCTTCTTGTCTGTTGGCTTGTGTTAATTACAGCTGTGCCAGGACAACTGAGAGTGACGTTTCAATGGCGGCCGCGCGGTTATTGCGGCTTTCAACTCGTAAGTGGCGACTGCGTATTAATTACAAGGCTCATTAGTGGTTTGCTCACACGGGGGGTCAGGCTATCGACTGCATGCAGGAATACAAAGCAGCCTGCGGTGTGTGCGTGCATGTGTGTACTGTACGTCCTCACACTTGTCTGATATTCGCTTTTGATGCTTGTAGTGTTTTTAGTTCCATCAGAAATGCATTTTGTTGGTAGAAAAACGAGTATAAATGAGATTATAGTCAATTGTTAATTGGCTCACGTCCCATGATTTGGCTAAAGTGTATCCTTGGAAACAGGACGTGTTGTATCCAAGTGCTCAACACAATGACTATTTTAGAATCAGGGACATTTAAGTGTTTGACGATGCATGAATCACTTTTTGGCAAACAAACTCATTTTTGGTGTGTGTATCAACAGCTCTCAAAGAATATCACTTCAAAAATAGGAATGTCTAACTATAAAGTCAAAGAGAAACGTTTTAATTAAAAGTCTGGGAGATCTTTTTTATTATATTCTACAATTTTTATATAATAAATAAATAATTTTGTGTCTATTGTTATTTTAAGCCATTCATACCTGATATGTTTTTAGTTTAGTTTATCGCTGTTTCCACCAAAATATTATATAGAAAATTTTAATACTGATAAAAAATGCTAAATTATGTTATTTAGAAATATTTTAAAATGTTGCTGATTGTAATATTCCAAAAAAAAAAAAAAAGAGTTAGAGAGAAAAACATTGCAAAATCTTAATTATTAGGAACTATTATCATTTTATATAGCTAAATATTAAACAACAGGCCATGCTTTTAAGTCCTGACCCTATTGAAAAATCAAGAATTAGTTATAAAGTAGCAGTTTTCGAAGTTTACAAAAAATAATAGGAACTATTATATATTATTATTATTAGGAACTATTATTAGGAACTATTGTCATTTGTATATAGCATGCAAATAGTATATAGAACATGCTTCTAAATCCTTACCCTATTAAAAATAATTTAAAAAATAGTTAAAAGTAACCATTTATAAAGTTAATAAAAAATGTATAAGAAATATTTCTATTATTATTAGGAACTATAAGAATTTTTATATAGCTAAATATTAAACAACAGGCCATGCTTCTAAATCCTGAGCCTAACAGTTTCCGAAGTTTACAAACATTTTATAGGAAATATTATCTGTTTTTATTAGGAACTATTATTAGGAAGTATTAACCTTTGTTATACAGCTAAATAATAAACAACAGGACATGTTTCTAAGTCTTGAGCCTATTGAAAAAAAAAGTTAAAAGTACCAGCTTTCGAAAGTTAACAAAAAAATATTAGCAACTATTTTCTATTATTAGGAACTATCATTAGGAACTATTATAATTTTCATATAGCTAAAAATTAAACAACAGTTCATGCTTCTGAGTGCTGAGCCTAACGAAAATTTAAGAATTAAAAGTAACAGTTTTTCTAAGTTTAACAATGAAAAAATCAGTTTTTCAAACACACACTAAAAAAAATCCTTAAATTAGCATTTTTCCCTATTTTGTGATTTATGTTTCTATTTTTTTTCTAAGCTTATTTATGCTTCTGAATTGCATAAATTGACCTTTTTCTTTCAACAACTTTTAACCTTGAAAAGTACTTTTCAAAAGTGTCTTTTATGAACATTTTTAGTAGTTTGAAGTAGGGCTGCACAATATATTGTTTCAGCATCGATATGGCAATGTGATCATTCGCAATAGTCACATCACAGGATGCACAATGTTAATTTTGTATTATATTTCATCATTTGCATAAGTTTATGAGGCCTGTGACTGCATAATGATTTTAAAAAACATTCAGGCATAATAAATTGTACCGTTTCGTTTTATTATTCAATTACTGTACCTGAATACTGTTAGATGGCAAACAGCAAAACACTGTTTATTTCAAATGCATCTGTTTTTTTATTGTATTTATAGAGTGTTTATTAGATTATATGCAGATGCGCTCACACACAAAAATCATCCTAATCGATCTAAAATGATCAATTCTTTCCAAATAGAAATATTCAAGTTATCTGGTGAAATTTTATTAATATCACACATTAGAATAATAAAATATTGCAATGTTCGATTTTTCCAATATCTTGCAGCCTTAGTTTAAAGTGATTTATTGTCTGGGTTGGTGTTATACTGCATATTACGGTACACACACTTTGTAAAAGCTTACCAGTATATTTTCTGTTATTTTACAGATTTATAACTCAATGTATTATTGTTTATATATCATATTTATACTTTTTATTATTTCAAACTACTGATACATCAATAAAAGTAACTTTGGCAAACAGTAGAGTTGAATATTCAACATCGAAAGTCGACAGAGAAGAGATCAAGGTCCCGAAATGCAATTCACAACCCTAAATAAATGGGAAAACACTGTTAATTTACATATTTTTTACAGTGGACAACAAATCTCAAGTTGCACTTTCCAAATTGCAAATGACTCTGAATAAAAAGTGCACAAGGGTAAACGTCTTAGCAA